CGGCTCGGCGACAGGGCGGCTCGAGCGTAGGGCGGCTCGGCTCCCGGGCGGCTCGACTGCACGGCTGCCCGACTGCTGCAGGTGGGGCGGCAGGGCCGCGTGAAAGAACCGGGGCGGGGCCGCGTCAGAGCCGGCGGCAGGGCCGCGTGAGGGCCGGTGGCGGGGCTGCTTGAGAGCCGGGGCAGGGGCCGCGTGAGAGCCGGGGCGGGGCCGCTTCAGAGCTGGCGGCAGGGCCGCAAGAGAGCCGGCGGCGGGGCCGCTTGAGAGCCGAGGCAGGGGCCGTGTCAGGGCCGGCGGCGGGGCCGTAAGAGAGCCGGGGCGGGGCCGCAAGAGAGCCGGCGGCGGGGCCGCAAGAGAGCCGGCGGCGGGGCCGCGTGAGAGCCGGGGCGGGGCCGTGTCAGGGCCGGCGGCGAGGCCGCGAGAGAGCCGGGGCGGGGCCGCAATCAGGAGGCGGCGGCGGGGCCGCGTCAGAGCCGGCGGCGGGGCCTCGTCGAGGCGGGCGGCGGGGCCGCGTTGGAGCCGGCGGCGAGGCCGGCTAAGAGCCGGCGGCGGGGCCGCGTCAGAGCCGATGGCGGGGACGCGTCAGGGCCGGCGGCGGGCCGCGATCAGCGGGCGGCGGGGCCGCGTCAGAGCCAGCGGCGGGGCCGCGTCAGAGCCGGCGGCGGGGCCGCGATCAGCGGGCGGCGGGGCCGCGTCAGAGGAGGCGGCGGGGCCGCTGCAGAGGAGGCGGCGGGGCCGCGTCAAGCAGGGGTGGCGGGGCCGCGTCAGAGGGACAGCGGGGCCGCGAGAGCAATGGCGACCCGAAGGGTCGCGAAAAAAAAATGCGCGCCTCGGGGCGCGCTTCGGTGGGCCCTAAAAAAACGGTCCTTAGGAAGGACCCGCTCTATACCATGTGAGAGATAAGAGAACAGGAATGAATCAACTAGCAGTGAAAAATGAGTACAAGTAGTGAACCCTAGAATTGTGTACCCCCTATAGGCTAACCCACTGTAGCCTACACAAGCATAACATATATAATGTTTGACACAGTTTTCTTCCGCCAAGTCACGTCGCTGTGCTTGTCCGGGCCTATCACCAAGCCAGCAAGGGCGTGGGAGGGTTGCGAGCATCATCGCTCATCGGCGCTCGCAAATGAAGAGTGCCCGCTGCATTTCCTGCACATGTGCGAATCCTTCCGCGTTTTGGGGTTGGAAGCGCTCGTTCCGAGCATTTTTCTTCCGCTGGATCACGTGGCTGCGCTTGTCCGGGCCTGTTACCAAGCCATCAAGAGCGTGGGTGGGTTGCGAGCATCATCCGTCATCGGCGCTCGCGAATGAAGAGCGCCTTCTGCACTTCCTGAACATGTGCGGATCCTTCAGCGTTCTGGGGGTGGAAGCGCTCATTTCGAACGTTTCTCTTTCGCCAAGTCATGTGGCTGCGCTTGTCTGGGCCTATTACCAAGCCAGCAAAGGCGTAGAAGGGTTGGAGGCATCATCAGTCATTGGCGCTCGCGAATGAAGGGCGCCCATTGCACTTCCTGCACATGTGCGGATCCTTCCGCGTTTTGGGTCTGGAAGCCCTTGTTCCGAACGTATTTCTTCCGCCGTGTCACATGGCTGCGCTTGTCTGGGCCTGTTACCAAGCCAGCAAGGGCGTGGGCGGGTTGCGAGCATCATCTGCCATCGGCGCTCGCGAATGAAGAGCGCTCGCTGCACTTCCTGCGCATGTACGGATACTTCCGCATTTTGGGGTTGGAAGCGCTCGTTCCGAGCGTTTTTCTTCAGCCGAGTCACGTGGCTGCGGTTATCTGGACATATTACCAAGCCAGCAAGGGCGTGGGAGGGTTGCGAGCATCATCGGTCATTGGCGCTAACGAATGAAGAGCGCCCGCTGCACTTCCTGCACATGTGCGGATCCTTCCGCGTTTTGGGGATGGTGGCGCTTGTTACGAGCGTTTTCTTCCGCCGGGTCACGTGGCTGCGCTTGTCTGGGCCTATTACAAAGCCACTAAGGGCGTGGGAGGGTTGCGAGCGTCATCGATCATCGGCGCTCGTGAATGAAGAGCGCCCGCTGCACTTCCTGCACATGTGCAGATCCTTCCGCGTTTTGGAGCTGGAGGCGCTCGTTCCGAGCGTTTTCTTCTGCCGGGTAACGTGGCTGCTCTTATCTGGGCCTATTACCAAGCCAGCAACGGCGTGGGAGGGTTGCGAGCATCATCGGTCATCGGTGCTCACGAATGAAGAGCGCCCGCTGCACTTACTGTGCATGTGCACGTCATTCCGCGTTTTGGGGTTGGAAGTGTCCGTTCCGAGCGTTTTTCTTCCGCCAGGTCACGTGGCTGAGTTCAGCGCCCGCGATGACGGCCATGCCTGCCCACAAATGCTAAGGAAGCGCATGGATCCCCGTAGGCATAAGGAAAAGCATCGAACGACCCAAATGTTGTTGCAAAGTCGAGAGGACTATGTTCAAATACACGTACCAGAGCAACTTCAGCTTGGTTCGTGCGCACATAAATGTTCGGCGCCCGCGATGGCGGCCGTGCCTGCCAAGAAATGCTTAGGAACGCCTATAGGGATCCATGCGCTTCCTAAGCATTTGTGGGCAGGCACGGCCGCCATCGCGGGCGCCGAACTTTTATGTGCACGCGAACCAAGCTGAAGTTGCTCTGGTAGGTGTATTTGAACATAGGCCACTCGAATTTGCAACAACATTTGGGCTGTTTGATGCTTTTCCCTACGCCTTTAGGGATCCATGCGCTTCTTAAGCATTTGTGGGCAGGCACGGCCGTCATCGCGAGCGCCAAACTTTTCTGTGCGTGCGAACCAAGATGAAGTTGGGCTGGTGGGTGTATTTGAACATGGACCACCCGAATATGCAACAGCATAAGGGACGTTCAATGCATTTTCCCTATGCCTTTAGGGTTCCATGCGCTTCCTTAGCATTTGTGGGCAGGCACGGTCATTATCGCGCGCGCCGAACTTTTCTGTCCGCGCGAACCAAGCTAAAGTTGCTCTGGTAGGTATATTTGAACATGGGCCACCCGAATATGCAACAACATCAGGGTCGTTCAATGCTTTTCCCTACGTCTATAGGGATCCATGCGCTTCTTCGGCATTTGTGGGCAGGAACGGCCGCCATCGCGGGCGCCAAACTTTTCTGTGCGAGCGAACCAAGCTGAAGTTGCTCTGGTAGGTGTATTTGAACACGAGCCACCCGAATATGCAACAACATTTGGGTTGTTCGATGCTTTTCCATACGCCTTAATGGATCCATGCGCTTCCTTAGCATTTGTGGGCAGGAACGGCCGCCATCGCGGGTGCCGAACTTTTCTGTGCGCGCGAACCAAGCTGGAGTTGCTATGGTAGGTGTATTTGAACACGAGCCACCCAAATATGTAACAACATTTAGGTTGTTCGATGCTTTTCCCTACGCCTTTATGGATCCATGCGCTTTCTTAGGATTTGTGGGCAGGCACGACCCTCATCGCGGGCGCAGAACTTTTCTGTGCGCGCGAATCAAACTGAAGTTGCTCTGGTAGTGTATTTGAACACAGACCACCCGAATATGCAACAACATTTGGGCCGTTCGTGTCAAACTTATATGATCTAGCCTGTGTAGGCTGTAGCGGGTTAGATACTAAGGGGTACACAATTCTAGGGTTTCATATTTGTATCACTTTCATTCCTTAGTCAACCTCATTCTCGTTCTAAGTTTCTCATGGTATCGAGCAGGTTCCCTCGTGGGAGCTGTTCCTAGGGCCCACCAAGATTTTTTTTTCCTACCCGGGGCGCGTGCCGCCCCTGCCCGAAGCGCGCCTAGTGTCCCGCCCCTCAGGCCCCGTCGCTGCCCTCTCTAGGCCCCGCGTGGCCCCTTAGCGGCCCCGTCGCCGCCCCTTACGGCCCTGCGACCGCCCCTTACGGCCCCGCGATCGCCCCTTACGGCCTCGTCGCCGCCCCTCACGGCCCCGCGACCGCCCCTTTCGGCCCCGTCGCTACCCCTTAAGGCCCCGTCGCCGCCCCTTACGGCCCCGTCGCCGCCCCTCACGGCCCCGCGACCGCCCTTTACGGCCCCGTCGCCGCCCCTCACGGCCTCGCGACCGCCCCTTACGGCCCCGTCGCCGCCCCTTAAGGCCCCGTCGCCGCCCCTTACGGCCCCGACGCCGCCCCTCACGGCCCCCCGACCGCCCCTTACGGCCCCGTCGCCGCCCCTCACGGCCCCGCGACCGCCCCTTACGGCCCCGTCGCCGCCCCTTAAGGCCCCGTCGCCGCCCCTTACGGCCTCGTCGCCGCCCCTTACGGCCCCGTCGACGCCCCTTTCGGCCTCGTTGCCGCCCTTCAGCGGCCCCATTGCCGCCCTTCCGCGGCCCCGTCGCCGCCCTTTCGCGGCCTCGTCGCCACCCTTCAGCGGCCTCGTCGCCGCCCTTCAGCCGCCTCGTTGCCGCCCCTTGCGGCCCCGTCGCCGCCCTTCGCGGCCCTGTCGCCCTTCCTTGGCCCCTCAGCCGCCCTTCCCGGCCCCGTCGAGCAGCCGAGCCGCCGTCACCGCCGAGCCGCCGAGCCGCCCTTGCCGCTGTGCCGCCGAGCTGCCGAGCCGCCGAGCCGCCGAGCTGCCGAGCCGCCGAGACCCCGAGCTGCCGAGCCGCCGAGCCGCCCTGAGGCCGAGCCGTCGAGCCGCCGAGCCGCCGAGCCGCCACGCCACCGCAGCCGAGACGCCGCAGTCCCTGCCGTCACGGCCCTGTCCCTGCCGGCCTGCCTCGGCCCGCCCCACCTGCCTGGTAAAAGCAGCGCCTCTGCCACTGCACTGCCCTACCCCACTGCTCTCTCTGCCAGTCTACTGCTGTCTTGGCAACCCCCAGTGTTCTCACCTTTGACGCTGTGGGTCGGGTTGTTGACTTTAAGGTCTGGGTAGATGATCTGCAGCTTTTCCTATAGTGCGATAGGGCAGACGGTCTCTCTCTGTTTGACCTCACCTCTGGTGCCTCTCGTGCCCCTGCTGCTGATGCTGACGCCACTGTTCGCTCATAGATGGCCACGCGCGATGCTGCTGCTCGCCTTGCTGTGCGCCGCCACTTTCCGACCGCTGAGCGCGCGCATTTTAGTCAGTACAAGAGTGCTAAGACCTTGTACGACGCTGTCGTTGCACGCTACTCTTCCCCTGCCACTGCTGCCCTTAGCCACCTCATACTGCCGTACCTCTTCCCAGACCTTGCCGCTTTTCCCACAGTCGTTGACCTCATTACGCACCTTCGCACTAGTGACATTCGCTACCGCGCTGCGCTTCCTGCTAAGTTCTGCGCCAAGAACCCCCCTCCTATGTACATCACCCTCTACTACATAGTCACCCGGCTCCCTGACACCCTTCGCTCGGTCAGGGACCACTTCCTCTCTGTTTGCCCCACCACCCTCACCGTTGACCTCCTCGAGGAGCGCCTCCTAGCAGCAGAAAAGAGTATAGTCACTGTAGGAGCCTCTCGTGGTGACCCTCGTACCCCTGTCTTTGAGGGGTGCTCCCCCTCCCCCCTCTTGCCCTCTGTTGCCTCTGCTGCTGCGGCCGACCTCGCTGGTCTTGAGTCGGTCGGCGCGGCGTCTGCCCCTAGCGGGAGACGCCGCTCAGGCAAGGGCAAGGGGGGCAAGGGCACAGGAGGAGCTGGCGGGGGCGATGGAGGCGGCGGTGGAGGCGGCGGAAAGGGTGGGGGTGGCGGTAGGAGTGGTGGCGGGAGTGGGGGCACTAGTGGCGGCAGTGGAGGCGGAGGAGGCGGCGGCGGTGGCGGTGCGAGCGGAGTTGGTGGAGGTTGAGGCGGTGGTGGAGGTAGCGGCGGCGGAGGTGGAGCTGGTCGGGGCGGCTCTTCGCAGAGGGTCGGCTCCGGTGGTGGTCAGCGCCAGCAGCAGCGCAATCGTGAGACCCCTTCCCCCCAGCAGCTTCGTGAGTGGTACACTGCTCGTCAGCGGGGTTGGGGTGCTGGCCCCTGTACCTACGTTCTACGTACAGGCGACCGCACGGGTGAGCAGTGTGGGGGTCCGCACTCCACCCAACGCTGCTTCGGCCGCCTGACGGACGCTTGGCGTCACCAGTTCCCCGACGCTACTGAGATCCCTCGCTGGGGCGAGCTGTTTAGGACGGGTGTTGCGATCTTTGATCTTGATTATGATGCTATTCTTGCTGCAATGTATGCTGTGACTATTAGTGATGAGGGTGACTGTTACCGGTGTTTTCCGCCTGACCCGGTCATTGAGGCTGCTGCTCTAGGTGCTGGTGAGGCTGCTGCTCTAGGTGCTAGTGAGCCTGCTGCCCCAGGTGCTGGTGAGTCTGCGCTCTCAGGTATCGTGTCGGCTCCGGCCACCCACACCTTCAACCTTGACTCGGGTGCTTCCCGCTGCTTCTTTCGAGACCGCACCACGCTTACGCCGCTTAATCGGCCAGTGGCAGTCTCACTAGCAGACCCCTCTGGGGGTCCTGTCCTTGCCCACTTCTCCACTGTTCTACCGTGTCCGGCGGCCCCTTCTAGCACCTTCGTTCTCTACGAACTTGGTGAGTGGTGCTGACCTCCAGGATGGAGGGGTTCACCAGTTCACTCCTGCGAGTCACCGAGTGACCCACTGTACCTGTGCTCGGTCGGGCCGTCACTTGGCCACGTTTATTCGTCAGCCGGGGTCGAGCCTGTACACACTGACTACTGAGTCTCCTCCGGTCGCTGAGTCTGCTCAGGTAGTCGCGTCGGGTCATGTGTTTGCTGCGGCGTCCAGGTCTGGTCCTGAGTCTGCCCCCTGCTCGTGTCGTCTCCTGTCTCACCAGACTCTCCTCTGGCACCACCGCCTTGGTCACCCCTCCCTGCCTCGTCTTCGAGGCATGGCCTCCGCTGCAGACGCTTCACATGGACGTGTGGGGCCCAGCCCGCGTCCGTGGACAGGGTCACGAGGGTTACTTCCTGCTGGTGGTTGACGACTACTCGCGTTACACCGCAGTCTTCCCCTTGCGCAGCAAGGGTGAGGTCACTGAGGTGTTGATTGCCTAGATCCGCGCAGTTCGTCTCCAGCTTAGAGAGAGTTTCGGCTCAGACTTTCCTGTTCTGCGTCTGCACTCTGACAGAGGCAGAGAGTTCTCCTCTAACCTTCTACGAGCCTTATGTCGTGCACGAGGCATCCGCCAGACCTTCACGCTTCCGGACTCTCCGCAGCAAAATGGGATTGCTGAGCGCCGCATTGGCATGGTCATGGACGTCGCTCGTACGTCCATGGTCCATGCGGCTGCCCCCCATTTTCTGTGCCCCTTTGCGGTTCGGTACGCGGCGCATCATATCAACCTTTAGCCCCGGGTCTCCATGCCGGAGACCTCCCGTGCTTTGCTGTGGACGGGGAAGGTTGGCGATGCGTCTGCGTTCCGCGTCTGGGGATCTCGGGCGTTTGTCCGCGACTTGTCTGCGGACAAGAAGTCCCCTCGTACTGTCCCCTGCGTCTTCCTTGGCTTCCCCCCTGACACGCCGGGCTGGCAGTTCTACCACCCCACCTCGCGCCGTGTTCTGTCCTCCCAGAACGTCATGTTTGACGAGTCGGTTCCCTACTACCGTCTCTTCCCCTACCGCACTGCGTCCCTCCCCCCCCCGCCGCTCTTCCTTACGCCAGGTCCCCCTCCGGTAGACCCCCTCCCCCCTCAGGGTCCTGCCCCCTCAGGTGTGTCTCAGGTAGACGCAGTCGACCCTGTCGAGGTAGCTGTTGACTCTGGTGCTGCTAGGGGTGCTGAGCCTGCGGGTGCTGAGTCTGGGGGTGCTGACTCTGGGGGTGCTGAGCCTGGGGGTGCTGACTCTTGGGGTGCTGCGCTTGGGGGTGCCGAGCCTGGGGGTGCTACGCCTGGGGGTGCTGCGTCTGGGGGTGCTGAGCCTGGGGGTGCTGCGTCTGGGGGTGCGGAGTCTTAGGGTACTGGACCTGCTCATGTGGCGTATGGCGGTGCTGAGCCTGGAGGTTCTTCGGGTGCTTCGTCCCGGTGGGAGCTACTCTCTCCACAGGAGCTGTGTGAGTGGTTTGCCCGGCGCTAGAGGCGAGCTGCTGGAGCTGGAGGTGCTGCGGGTGCTGGAGGTTCTGCTGCTGCTGAGGGTGCGGGTGCCGCGGGTCTCGGAGGTGCTCGTACTGGGAGTACTGGAGCTGCTGGGCCTGCGGGTGCTTCTCCTACTAGAGCTGGTGGTGCTGCGGGCGTCGGTGCTACTGAGGGTGCTGTAGCTGTACCCGCTGCGTCTTCTGGTGGTCCGGCTGGAGCTGGAGCTGCTGGGGGTGTTGGCGCTGAGGGTGCCTCTGGTGCTGGTGCCTCTGAGGGTACTGGAGTTGGCGCTGCTGGAGCTGGGGGTGTTGGTGACACTGGTGCTATCGTTCGGGGTGCTGGTGCTGTCCCTTCTGGTTCTGGTGGTGCTGCGCGGCCGCGGCCGTACTTCGTTCCGCTCCTTGAGCAGGTTCTTGGTCTTCCGCCCTCTACTCGTCTAGCTCCTCCCTTAGAGTGTCCACCGCCGGTCCAGTCCGAGTCACTGTTACAGCCTACCTCTCCTCTGCCTGCTCCTTCTCCTTACACTGGTCCTACTGGAGGTCTTGCTGAGCGTCGTGAGCCTGCGTCTCGTCCTGCGTCGCCTGTCCTTGCTGCTCGCACTAGTAGTCGTGGTTCCCGTCAGCGTCCTCCTCCTGTCCCCGGCACGCACCGGATGTCTCTGCGTCCCTCCACTGCTCCGCTGCGTGCCCCTTTGCCTTCTCCTCCTGAGTCCTCTCTTCCTGTTCTTGCTGACCCGGAGTTGGACTCCCTTCGTGCTGCCAGTCTTGCTATCACGCGTCTCCTTGCTACTGTCGTCACAGACCCTTCCTTCGAGTCCGCTGCTGCGTCTGCCTTAGTTTCTGAGCTTGTCGACTTTCATAGAATTCTAGGGTTTCATATTTGTATCACTTTCATTCCTTAGCCAACCTCATTCTCGTTCTAAGTTTCTCAGTTCGATGCTATTCCCTATGTCTATATGGATCCATGCGCTTCTTTAGCATTTGTGGGCATGCACGGCCGTTATCTCAGGCGACGAGCATTTCTGTGCGCGAACCAAGATGAAGTTTCTCTAATAGGTGTATTTGAACACGGGCCACCCAAATATGCAACAACATGGGTCATTCGATGCTTTTCCCTATGCCTATAGGGATCCATGCGCTTCCTTAGCATTTGTGGGCAGGCACGGTAGTCATCGCGGGCGCCGAACTTTTCTGTGCGCGCGAACCAAGCTGAAGTTGCTCTGGTAGGTGTATTTGAATACGAGCCACCCGAATATGCAACAACATTCGGGACGTTTGGTGCATTTCTCTACGCCTATAGGGATCCATGCGTTTCCTTAGAATTTGTGGGCAGGCACAGCCGTCATCGCGGACGCCGAACTTTTGTGTGCGGGCGAACCAAGATGAAGTTGATCATGTATGTGTAATTGAACACAGGCCACCCGAATATGCAACAACATTGGGGCCGTTCGATGCATTTCCCTACGTCTGTTGGGATCCATGCGTTTCCTTAGCATTTCTGGGTTCGATGCTATTCCCTACGTCTTTTGAGATCCATGCGCTTCCTTAGGATTTGTGGGCAGGCACGGCCATCATCGCGGGTGCCGAACTTTTATGTGCGCGCGAACCAAGCTGAAGTTGCTCTGGTAGGTATATTTGAATATGAGCCACCTAAATATGCAACAACATTTGGGTCGTTCGATGCTTTTCCCTACTCCTATAGAGATCCATGCGCTTCCTTAGCATTTGTGGGCAGGCACGACCATCATCGCAGGCGTCAAACTTTTCTGTGCGCGCTAAGCAAGCTGAAGTTGCTTTGGTAGGTGTACTTGAGTATGGGCGACCTGAATATGCAACAACATTCGGGTCGTTCGATGCTTTTCCCTATGCCTACAGGGATCCATGCGCTTCATTCATATTTGTGAGCACGCACGGCCGTCATCGCGGGCGCCGAACTTTTCTGTGTGCGCGAACCAAGCTGAAGTTGCTCTGGTAGGTGTATTTGAAAATGAGCCACCCGAATATGCAACAACATTCGGGTCGTTCAATGCTTTTCCCTACCCCTTTAGGGATCCGTGCGCTTCCTTAGCTTTTGTGTACACGCGAACCAAGTTGAAGTTACTCTGGTAGGTGTATTAAAACACGGGCCACCCGAATATGCAACAACATTCAGGCCGTTCGATGCTTTTCCCTATTCCTATAGGGATCCATGCGCTTCTTTAGCATTTGTGGGCAGGCACAACCGTTATCACGGGCGCAAAACTTTTATGTGCGCGCGAGCCAAGCTGAAGTTGCTCTGGTATGTGTATTTGAACACGGCCACCCGAATGTGTAACAACATTTGGGCCGTTCGATGTTTTTCCCTACGCCTCTAGGGATCCATGTGTCAGAATATTATGTTTCTCTAGTCTGCAGTGGGGTACTCTATAGTGAGTACACCCCTTTTAGGGTTTGCTATATGTATCCCAATGTTTGCTAGTGAACCCCCTCTCCTCTCTTCTCTCAATCCATTCTCGTTCTAAGTTTCACATGGTATAGAGCAGGGAGGGGCGACCTGGGGGGGCGCGCGTCTCCCCTTCTTCCGCCTGCTCTGGCGCCCTGGGAGGCCGCGCGTCGGCCCCCGTACTCCTCCCCCCCCCCCCCCCCCCAAGGTCGCCTCAACAGGCGACGGGAGGGGCGACCTGGGGGGGGCCGTGCGTCGGAGCAGCCGCCCCTGGTGCAGCCGCCTCTGGCCCCTGGAGCAGCCGCCCCTGGCCCCTGGAGCAGCCGCCCCTGGTGCAGCCGCCCATGGACCTCAGCAGCCGCCCCTGACCCCTGGAGCAGCCGCCCCTGGACCCCGCGACGCCGCCCCTGGACCCGGTGCCGCCGCCTCCCTGTGCTGCCCATTGCCGCCCATTGCTGCCCGTTGCTGCTCTCCCCCCCCCCCCCCCCCCCCCCCCCCCCCCCCCCTTTCTTCGTCTCCCTGCTGCGCGTGCAGCCGTGGAATGGAGGGTATGGGGGTGGCGGGTATGGGGGTGATGGATGGTATGTTTCCCTTCCCCTCCTCCTCCTTTGTCTCCCACTGCTGCAGCTGCCGCTGAGGGGGGTGGATGTGTGGGAGCCAAAGGCGTGGTGCTAGGGGGTGGGGTGTGAGTGAACCTAGGGGTGCAGTAGGGGGTGTGTGAAATGGGGGTGGGATAGTTTGGGGAGGTTGAAGGAGGTGGCCGCCGTGAAGCCCGCAGCTCCAGTCGCCCGTGAGACCGTTGCGCCAGTCGCCCGTGAGCCCGTTTCGCCAGTCGCCCGTGAGCCCGTTGCTCCAGTCGCCCGTGAGTCCGTTGCTCCTGCCGCTCAGAGTTAGCCGCGGAGCCAGTTACTCCAGTAGCCCGTGTGCCAGTTGCTCCAGTTGCCAGTGTGCCAGTTGCTCCAGTTGCCCGTGTGCCAGTTGCTCCAGTTGCGCCGTGTGCCATCAGCTTCAGCTGCCGCCCACTACCTCCTCTCCTCTCATAGTCCCTCCTCCTCCACACTTGCCCCCTGCGATAGCCTCTAGCTTTGCTTAC